AAAATAAAAAAAAAGTAAATAAATAATAAATAATAATAAAGAGGATAACATAAATCAATACAGATATAATATATTCCCTAGCCCTACTCCCATACTACTTGTATATGGTAAGACGAACTTAAAGCTGCTTCATTTTCATAAACTGCTTTGTATATTGTACATACACATACATTATATATAAACAACTGTAATACTTAAATATGCTTTAACACTCAGCGCGCCATTTTGATTATTTGATAACCCTATTTTAGACGTACGTATTACGTAACTGAAACTTACGTAGTCGAGGTCCATTTGACTCATATGTTAAGCAAATGCTCGAATTTACTCAAACACATATACTTAAGTTTGACAGCCAAAAATCAAAAACTCATTTTCGGGTCTGCTGCCCACCTAACCAAATCGAATATTATTCTTGCACACTCGAATTCCTACTCACGTATAATATGCCCATTCTCCTTTTCTCTGTTTGATTTCATTTCGAAGGCAAAATGCATTAAAAAACTTTTTACAAATTGTGATATATTTCTAAACATTTCGTTCACAACTTGAAATGTTGCATAAATGAAGCCGAACGTTTATAACAGCAAAGTACTTTACTCATTCGTGTTTTTTTTACATAAGTTTTAAGATTTTAGTTTTTTAAAACGCAATATTTAATTTAAAGTTTTGCCATGTTAATTTGTAAAAGCAATGCAGTTCATAATGCCTTTAATCCAATGCTAGTTTAAGAACAACCGTAGAGATCCGTATTCTTTCATGCATTTATTATTTTTTTTTTTTTACCACAATTCATAAATTGTCTTTAAATTCCTTGTTTTAACTGCTAAATTGTTTTATTTTTTTTATTTTTATTATTCAGATTATTAAACTATATCTGAAACTAAACTATTGACTATTGAGGTATAAATAATCTAGCAATAAAAGTAAGAAAGGATACTTAAGTCTTAATACTCATCCACATATATGAAATACACTCTGTAATATATATACAAATACACAAACATATAAACATACACACGCACACAGAAACACACGTACACACACACACACACATTCACACTTAACTACACATCGTTAACTAAGGATTAGGCTAAAGATGAACGAAATATAGCACTTAAATATACGGAATGTAAAAGTGAAAGCAAGGAGTTAATCGTAATAAAATGTAGGAATTAGTTAAAGTGTTAGTAATTTTATTAAATAAAATTATATATAAAGTGCAGAACACATAACGAAGAAAAAGAAACATGTTAGTCTAAGCATCAAGAATATTATATAAATAATAATAAAACGAAATCGAAACTCAAATATAAATATATTAGTATAAGTTTGCATCATTGTCTCATGCGGAATGAAATGTTGTGTAAAGAAAACGATATTTTCATGTTTTCCAAAAATAACAGAAAACGAAGCAAAAACAAAGAACAAAAAAACAAAAAACAAATACTATTTTACACAAAACGAATTGTATAATAATAAAGAAATGCAGCAAAACTTATATAAATGTATATGTAGTTAAATTAAGCAGCATTATATTAACCAAAAACCAAATGAAAATTATTGAAATCAGCTAAACAAGAAAAATTGTGACTGAGAAGGAAGAAAACTGTCTACGTCGTCTACTCAATTGTGCTTAAATCTACTTAGTATCTTTTGTTCTTCACAAGGAGTTGTAAATTTTCCGAGAATAACAAACGCAGAGGCAACATAACATAAACACATATGTATTACAATTCGTTACGCTCATGTTTATGCATTGGTATTGACCCAACTTATAGAGCAGAGAATCTGTGCTAGAGCAAATGATAACCTTTGATAATAAATAAATTATGAAGAATACTTGTATTAAATGTACGAAATTGTCTCCAACTAAAGTTGCGCCGTCGTTGTCATGCGGGCAAAAGTCATGCATATTGAAGTAAAAATACTCTTAAGCAAAGCAGATATCAACTTAACACATACAAACACACACACTTATGGCAACCCGGCATATATGATACAACCATATATATCTAATAGTATAACGAATAAAAAGCGATTTCAATAAAAGTAAAAAATTACAAAAAAAAAAAAAACACATTTGCTTTTAATTCTTGGGCTGGACTGAAAAAGCTTTCTTCTTTAAAAATGATTATATTTTCAGCTTTTCACTCTCTATGATGTCAAATAATGATTTTGTAAGTCGTTCGTCCACGATTATGGAGAGTATATTAGTTTTCAGAAATGTTGCCCAAGCTGTACCTTATATGAATCTTGATGGAATGGAATGATGAAATAAAAATAGTCTAGACTCTAGAGCTAAGCAACTGTCAATTGCTGGCGTTAAGAGCCCAAAACCGTAACAATAAACAGAACTTCTTTGACGAACCTCCAGGATCTTAACAGCCCTCCTGTCAAATTTTAGACTGCTATCATTTAAACTAATAATTTTATCTGATTGACAATACCTCCAACAGTGGTGTATCTGTATGTACATATATTCAACGAGTATATAATTACAAACTTTAAGCTTCGAAACTTCACACCTTTGCTCACGACGATTTGCATTCGGCATTTCTACCTTCTTCATGCAGCTACATGCAAATTTGGTTTTTTTAATTACATTTGTGCTTTTTTATGCCGATTTTGATTGTTTTGCTATAGAAAACCAAACGGACAGGCATGGGCAGCCAATTGTTTATGAATCTTGTAGAGACACGTATATATACACCGAAGTGCTGTAATCGCTTGGAATCGGAAGATGCCATCCACGTTAAGTAAAAACAAGTAAGAAGGCTCCAGTCGAGACTACTCGACTAGGAAAAACCATGACCCTCTCTGCGTCGTGTCAAACATATGGACAATGTTGTTCATAAACACGATTATTCCACCTACACACAATTTTAAAAAATTATTTTAAAACAAAGCTGAATTGAAATTTGTTCAAAAATTTATTTCATACATCGTAATTCCTCCATTCGCCATAAATACCAACCGATTAGACATTAATTTGAAGTTCAGCACCTACTATAGGCTGTAGCCTTTTGGGTTCTCCGTGAAGATTGTACTTCCAGACGGCTGATTAACAAAATTTGAATATGGCACTGGGGCCACATCAAAGTTGAGTGTTTTATTTAGAGCACCAGTGCTACGAGTTAAAATAAGAAGCTTTCCGTTTAGGCTCTTATCAATAGTGTTAAGATCACTAATTTTCTGTTGGTTATCCATCACGTAAATGTTGTAGTTGACGCCGTAGAGTCCAAAAAGCACATCCAGTTCACTTCGCAATTTGTCCAGCGTGATGTACTCTTTGCTGATATTATCCTGAAGTAAAATGGATCCCTTGCTACTGTTCACGAATCGGGGTTGCAGCTCGCCATCTAGCGCCACGTTTAGCCACGCGAGCTTTGGCAGTTGCAGCTCCTCAGTGGAGCAAATTGTCAAGTTAAGTTGCACGCCTTTGAGGTCGCAAGCCTCACTGATAATTTGCCTCTTTGATTCGATCTTCTTCTGATCAAATGGAAGGAACTCCGACTTGACTGCCCCCTTTATCATGGACGAATAGTTGACCAGAACCTTTTGCAGTTGCGACTTCGTTTCAAGAGTTTCCTTTTTGCTATCATTACTCTGCAGATCATAAAATATGATCACTGGGTCGGTTGGTATGAGCTGAGCCTTTTTCTTTAGCTTTTGCACACGATTAATAGCCTCGCGAGCTAAGCCTTCCTCGAGCAGTTCCTCATTTGGCGTCATGTCCAATAGAACCAAGACTTCATTATCGCTATGGGCTTCAAAATTTCCAGCAACCTTATCGGAAGTGCAGTAAATAATGCGCACTTCCTCCAGCTCAATGCGTTGGTCCAGAACATTGAAGAAGCCTTGGGCCACCTGCTTTTGAATCTCCTCGTCTTTGAGCGCTTTTATGGCTGCCATAACTGCCTTAAAGTTCCCCTTCAAGCGTTGTCCAAGCGTCTACAAAAAGTGTTTAAACGAATAGTCAAATAAGAATTGTGATCCAATATCATCAGCATTAGAGGCCTACCTTATGATCGGGCTCGGCACGTAGTGTCACTCCGTACTTTTCCTTATCCGAGCTTAGCGTTAGTTTGCGCACATTCAGTTCGCTAAGTATGAAATCTTTCAAGGTCTCAATCTCCTTCAGGGTCTGTTCATCTTTATGAATAACAATAATTTCCGAAATGGGATATTTGACGGGCAGTGTGCGACGGTCGCGCATAACACGACCCAACTCAACAACCGACTGCATCAGTGCCACAGATCGCTCAATGTCGCTGCGGATAAACTTGCGCTGGCTAACAGGCATCATTTGATAGTGCACAGAGTCAGAATGCTCCAAGCTACCTGCGGGCTGGAACAGCACCAGGCGTTGGAAAATATACTCGGTTAAGTACGGGGTGAAGGGTGCCATCATCTTAACCATTGTGTACAAGACGTCGTACAGAGTATCTAAAGATTGTATGCACTGCTCTGCACTCAGTTCGCCCTTAATGCGACGGCGATTCAATCTCACGTACCTAGGGGTTAATGAAAACTTTATTTTTGAGCTACAAAGATTTAAGTGTTACTTACCAGTTAGTGAGTTGATCAATGAATTTAGTTAGTCTCGGCACGACCGTATAAAGGCGATACATTTTCATCTCCGTCGCGAAGAACTCCAACAGGGATTCTTTAAACGACAGGATCCACACGTCAATGACAGAGGCGTTCTCCATGTTTTGCAAATGTCTCGATCGCTCATAGGTATACTGGGCCTTACCGCCCAACTCCTCTTTCTCGTAGCGCACAATATTTTGCAGGAGAAAGCGATAAGCATTATACCAGGGGAGGAACACGTCCTTAATTATATCGCGCACACCTTCCTCCTTGAAACGCAAGCTTTCTGCGCGCACCACAGGTGAGTTGATAAGATACAAGCGAAGCGCATCAGCTCCATACTTATGAACAACGTCCATGGGATCCGGATAGTTCTTCTTGCGCTTGGACATTTTCTGCCCATCTGCAGCCAGCACCAATCCACTCGCAATTAGGTTCTTGAATGGGGCCTTGTTAAACAATGCCGTTGAGATCACCAGGAGCGTATAGAACCAGCCGCGTGTCTGGTCGATACCCTCAGCAATGAAGTCAGCTGGAAAATTGTTCATGAAATCTTTTTCATTCTCGAAGGGGAAATGCTGCTGCGCAAATGGCATCGACCCAGACTCGAACCAACAATCGAACACGGGCGCAATTCGACGCAACGGAGGATTTCCGGGAATAGCCGACGGGATTTCAATGTCGTCAATAGTCTCACGATGCAGATCATCTACTTGAACGCCGGATAGCTCAGCCAACTGCTTAATGCTGCCTACGACAACTGTTTCATCGCCATTTGGAGAGCGCCAGATGGGTATAGGAGTGCCCCAATAGCGGTTACGAGAAATCTATAAATATATTTTCAAACGTTAGAGTAGTGAAAACTTATGCAATATAAGAAGACATATACTTACTGCCCAGTCTCTAGCATCCTTTAGCCAATTTCCGAATCGCTTCTCCTTAACAAAATCGGGAACCCAGTAAGTCTGGGAGCTACTGGCTAATAAGTTCTTGGACATATGTTCGACGCGCACAAACCATGAAGGCACCGCCTTGTATATCAACGGGGTGTCCGAGCGCCAGCAGAAGGGATAGCTATGCTTGACCTGGCCACTCGAAACCAAATTCCCGCTCGCCTTTAGCTTAGCTATAATGTGCTTATCCGCATCCTTAACGAACTGGCCAGCAAAGTCGGTGACCTCTGAAGTAAACCGACCGGAGTCGTCGACAGGGCAAATCACCTCGCTTGACTTTGTTATAATGCCAGCGGCTAAGCAGACGCGGTAATCGTCCTCGCCAAAGTAGGGCGCATTGTGCACAATACCAGTACCAGAGTCCTCCGTAACATACTCATCCACCAGCACGCGGTGGGCGTTCACCTTGGCGCCCCGTTCGGCAAAGTAGGGGAAAACCGGCTTGTAATAAAGGCCTTTAAGCGTTTGCCCTGCAAACTTCTCTTTCACTTCGTATTCTGCTTCACTCTTAAATACATAAGACAATCGTGACTCGGCCAGAATAAACAAGCGATCGCTCTTTACATCGCGCACCTAGATGAGGGAACCAAAATATAGTGATTAAAAGTTAAAAACCATTTTGAAAATGTAAAGTTCTAGGAAACAAATGGAAAACCTATTTACGTGGTTTCACCAATATCATAGAATCTAGCGAATTATCAAATTATTTACCTTGACATAAGTCATCGTGGGATGAACACAGCAGGCAAAGTTGGAAGGAAGTGTCCAAGGGGTTGTGGTCCACACCAAGAAGTAGGTGTTGGGAAGTGACTTGGCCTCGAGTGCAACAACCACACAGGGATCAACCACCTCTTTGTAGTTCTGGTTCGCCTCGAAATTGGACAACGAGGTGGTGCACGCCGTGGAATAGGGCATCACCTTTACACCCTGATACACCAGACCCTTGTCGAAGAGCTGCTTGAAAATCCACCATATGGACTCCATGTACCATGGGTATAGTGTCTTGTAATCATTTTTAAAATCAATCCATCGGCCTACACGCGTCACAATGGTCTCCCACTCGTCCGCATAGCGCATGACAATCTTCCGGCACTCGGCGTTGTACGCCTTGATGCCCATCTTTGCCACGTCCTCTGGACCCTTAATGTTAAGAAGCTTGTCGATTTCGAACTCCACGGGCAATCCGTGACAATCCCAGCCAAAGCGCCGATCCACATGGTAGCCTTGTTGATAAGCATATCGTGTGACAATGTCCTTAATGGTTCCCGCAAGGATATGTCCATAGTGAGGCAGGCCAGTTGCGAAGGGTGGCCCGTCGTAAAAGGTGTATCTAGCAATTATTTCAATATTACGGAGTTGGATGATGCAACCAATTGCAGTTCTTACTTGGGCTTTCCTTTGGACAGCTGGCTACACCTTTCAAAAATTTTGTCGGCTCGCCATTGCTTCAGCACATTTTCTTCCTCAGCCGGAAAGTTAATGGTTTCAGGAACACGACAAACGTCATCGCGTTTCAGTTTCTCCGTATTGCTCATTTCTGTAAGCTGTGATTAGTGAATTGCACTTTTTAGCTCGAACTAATGTATTTGAATAACTTACCTTTTATAATAAGAGTTGAAAATGCGAAACTGATGTGATGGCAACAACATGTGCTTATCGAATGCACCGCTCTCAATTCTCGTTCTGATTTATCGAAATTCGATCAAACAAAAATTACAGTAGTGGTAGTACCGCGAAATATACAATATTCATAACTATTTTTAAAATAATTTCTTCTCTGCTTATTTTAATATAATTGCATATTATTTAAATATTGCATTGTATCACCTTTATATGTATGTACATGATATTCTTTGTTTAGTGATTTAGTTACATTTATTTAGTATTTTCGGAGTATTCTGGCTATTAAAATTTGTTCAATGGTTAAATCTGTTTAGATACAAATATAATACCAAATAATTAAAGTATTGCAACATTCTAAAATTAAATGCAAGTACAAAATAATATAACAATAAAATGTTACAAACAATTTCTTATTAATCTTATATTTATATTTCAGTATATTACTAAACGGGAATAACATTTAGTATTTGACGATGCAGTATATTTTGTTAGTTCAAGAGCTGGGCACATTGTATAAAATGTGTACATTTAGCGCAGCCGTCTATAATATTATAAGTAAAGGCCAGTAAACAGAACTATTAGCGCTGTTTAAGTTTTTATATTCATAAAAATTCGAATCCGAAGTTGATGTATTGGATGCTATTCAATACTTGCCATAAGCGGTACATGCAAATATAGTTTCCGTTCGAGAGAGACTCGCAATCAAAAACAATGGCACGCCCTATTTTTCCCAATCAGCAAAAAATTGCTGAAAAGCTGATAATTCTAAACGATCGTGGTCTCGGAATTCTTACACGCATTTACAACATTAAAAAAGCGTGTGGGGACACCAAATCAAAGCCGGGGTTCTTGTCCGAAAAGTCGCTGGAGTCGTCAATCAAATTCATTGTAAAGCGCTTTCCCAACATCGACGTCAAAGGCTTGAATGCAATAGTGAACATCAAGGCTGAGATAATCAAATCTCTCTCGCTCTATTACCACACGTTTGTCGACCTGCTGGACTTTAAGGACAACGTTTGTGAGCTGTTGACAACTATGGACGCTTGCCAGATCCACCTGGACATCACACTGAACTTCGAGCTGACCAAGAACTACTTGGACTTGGTAGTTACCTACGTTTCCCTGATGATTGTGCTCTCCCGTGTCGAGGACCGGAAGGCAGTGCTGGGACTTTACAATGCGGCGTTTGAGTTACAGAACAATCAGGCGGATACCGGCTTTCCTCGTCTGGGGCAGATGATCCTTGACTACGAAGTGCCGGTAAAGAAGCTGGCCGAAGAGTTCATTCCTCACCAGCGCCTGCTCACTAATGCATTGCGCTCCCTGACCTCTATCTATGCCCTACGAAATCTGCCTGCGGACAAGTGGCGCGAGATGCAGAAGCTCAGCCTAGTGGGCAATCCGGCCATTCTGCTGAAGGCAGTGCGTACGGACACAATGTCTTGTGAGTACATTTCGCTGGAGGCTATGGATCGCTGGATCATATTCGGGCTACTGCTAAACCACCAAATGCTGGCCCAATATCCGGAGGTAAACAAAATATGGATATCGGCTCTAGAAAGCAGCTGGGTGGTAGCTCTCTTTCGGGATGAGGTGCTGCAGATTCACCAGTACATTCAGTCCACATTCGATGGAATCAAGGGCTACAGCAAGCGAATCAGCGAGGTAAAGGAGGCCTACAACACGGCCGTTCAGAAGGCATCATTGATGCATCGAGAGAGGCGCAAGTTTCTGCGGACCGCGCTGAAGGAACTGGCACTTATTATGACCGACCAGCCGGGTCTCTTGGGACCTAAGGCAATATTCATATTTATTGGACTTTGCTTGGCTCGCGACGAGATTCTTTGGCTGCTGCGCCACAACGACAATCCGCCGCTGATAAAGAACAAAGGTAAGTTGCTGTCTTCAGTTGTCCATTGCTTATTTAACTTTGAGCTGTACTTGCAGGCAAGAGTAATGAAGACCTGGTAGATCGACAGCTTCCAGAACTATTGTTCCACATGGAGGAGCTGCGCGCGCTGGTGCGCAAATATAGCCAGGTAATGCAGCGGTACTATGTGCAATACTTGTCCGGGTTTGACGCCACGGATCTGAACATCCGCATGCAAAGCCTGCAGATGTGCCCAGAGGACGAGAGCATTATTCTCAGTTCGCTGTACAATACTGCCGCTAGCCTGACTGTCAAGCAAGTAGAGGACAACGAGCTTTTCTACTTCAGACCCTTCCGGTTGGACTGGTTCCGCCTGCAAACATACATGAGCGTCGGCAAGGCATCGTTGCGCATCACGGATCACATGGAGCTGGCACGCCTGCTCGATTCGATGGTGTTTCACACGCGTGTTGTAGACAATCTGGATGAGATACTTGTGGAGACTTCGGATCTAAGCATATTCTGCTTTTATAACAAAATGTTTGACGATCAGTTTCACATGTGCCTGGAATTCCCGGCCCAGAATCGCTACATAATCGCGTTTCCTCTGATCTGCAGCCATTTTCAGAATTGCACTCATGAAATGTGTCCAGAGGAGCGACACCACATACGAGAGCGTTCGTTGAGTGTGGTAAACATTTTCTTGGAGGAAATGGCCAAAGAGGCCAAAAACATTATTACGACAATTTGCGACGAGCAGTGCACAATGGCAGATGCTCTGCTGCCCAAGCATTGTGCCAAGATCTTGTCCGTTCAATCGGCACGCAAAAAGAAGGACAAGTCGAAATCCAAGCACTTTGACGATATACGAAAGCCAGGCGACGAGTCGTACCGCAAGACACGCGAGGACCTGACCACAATGGATAAATTGCACATGGCCTTAACTGAGCTATGCTTTGCCATTAACTATTGTCCCACTGTGAACGTTTGGGAATTTGCGTTTGCTCCGCGCGAGTATCTCTGCCAGAATCTGGAGCATCGATTTTCTCGCGACCTGGTCGGCATGGTGATGTTCAACCAAGAGACCATGGAAATAGCCAAGCCATCGGAGCTGCTCGCCAGTGTACGTGCGTACATGAACGTGCTGCAGACCGTGGAGAACTACGTGCACATTGACATCACGCGTGTGTTCAACAACTGCCTGTTGCAACAGACGCAGGCTCTGGACTCGCACGGAGAGAAAACGATTGCCGCGTTGTACAACACCTGGTATAGCGAGGTGCTGCTGCGCCGGGTCTCTGCCGGCAATATTGTCTTCTCTATTAATCAGAAAGCGTTTGTGCCTATTTCGCCAGAGGGCTGGGTACCGTTCAATCCGCAGGAGTTTTCCGATCTAAACGAACTGCGCGCCCTGGCCGAGCTAGTTGGTCCTTATGGAATAAAGACTCTAAACGAGACGCTCATGTGGCACATCGCCAACCAGGTGCAGGAGCTGAAGTCGCTGGTAGGCACCAACAAGGAGGTGCTCATCACCCTGCGCACCAGTTTCGACAAGCCGGAGGTCATGAAGGAACAGTTCAAGCGGCTGCAGGACGTTGATCGAGTACTGCAGCGCATGACCATAATTGGAGTTATTATCTGTTTCCGTAACCTTGTCCATGAGGCATTGGTGGATGTGCTGGACAAACGAATTCCATTCCTGCTTAGCTCGGTGAAAGACTTCCAAGAGCACTTGCCAGGTGGGGATCAGATACGCGTCGCATCCGAAATGGCCTCGGCGGCGGGTCTGATATGCAAGGTGGACCCCACATTGGCCACAACATTGAAATCAAAGAAGCCAGAGTTTGACGAGGGCGAGCACCTGACCGCCTGCTTACTGATGGTATTTGTGGCCGTGTCCATACCAAAGCTGGCTCGCAATGAACACTCCTTCTACAGAGCCACCATTGATGGCCATTCGAATAATACTCACTGCATGGCAGCTGCTATCAATAACATCTTCGGAGCCCTGTTCACGATCTGTGGACAGAACGACATGGAAGATCGTATGAAGGAGTTCTTGGCATTAGCCAGCTCGTCCCTCCTGCGCTTGGGTCAAGAGTCCGACAAGGAGGCTACCCGCAATCGAGAGTCCATCTACTTGCTGCTGGATGAGATAGTGAAGCAGTCACCATTCCTCACCATGGACCTTCTAGAGTCCTGTTTCCCGTACGTTCTTATCCGCAATGCCTATCATGGTGTCTACAAGCAAGAGCAAATAATGGGCCTGGGCCTATAGAGAACATAGAGCAAAGTGGAGTAAAAGTCTCGCATTCTTATCCGAGTATTAAGCTATATAGTTTTTGATAATCGATCATTGTGCATTATGCTTACGAATAATGAGTACATATTATTCTATTGTTAGACCTTAATAATTATATATAATATATATTGATAACGCCCCTACTATACCCTGTCTGCGTATAAGGCAAAAGTATTCAGCATTTTGATACATTCTTTGTATAAATAAAGTGCATATGCAAACCAAATCATAAGATCTGTGTACTTCATTTGGCGCGGAATGCGGAACCCGTTTCCATAGAAAACGACGTTGGTCCGTTATTATTATTGTACTTTATTACCCATGTGTATATTAAATGTGTATTGTTTATTTATTATTTCGTTAACGTGTCGATCGAAAAATCTTCCTCAATATTATATTATTTGGTCACGTTTAATGTTTCATTCTTAGGCTTGTGTAGAAATACTTGTAGGTAAGTAATAAAATATGTTTAGTTCTCGTCCAAGTACAATGCAAAGTGTTTTAGTTTAAATTTCATTAGAGAATTATCAATTCCAATACAAGCGTTTCACTTGTGATTTACATTGAGACCATATTGATTCTGTGGAGTTGCACGCTCTGAATTATACCGTTGTGCACTTAGTTTGACTTAGTTTGTGATTATCTCTGTTCAAAGCACGCAGCTGTCATAGGTTTGTTTGTACAAATAAAACGATAATTTATGATTATGATTATGATTATGCATAACTGAAATTCTCCACTCTGGGATCCTAACAATGGAAACCAATTCGGAAATGAAATACACACAATTTTATTCTGCTGAAGTTCTACAATGTTTGGTTAGCTATACCACAATCACTACTTGCTGCTAGAAAGCGGGCTGTATTTGTTTCTTTAAACTTGATCGTAATCGTAACAATGTTAGTATCTATATTTCAATATGTCATTAATTATACAAACACACGTACGTACATATATACCATACTGTTATCAAACTCTCTCCGCAATATTTGACTAATCCTTATTATATCTCTAGTTTCAGTTTTCTCAGTTTCTCGAAAAGATTATTAAATTTTCATTTTTAATTTTTGTTTCTTGTGTTTTGTGTTTGTTTAAGTTGCAATCAGTCATTCAGTTTAGGCATCTGTTGACTTAACACTTGTCGCCTCTGTCTTTTTTAAATAAAAAAAAAAAAAATACATAAATAATAATAATATTCGAAATTAAACAAATAAGAAATCAAAATAAATTACTTCGTTTTGCTATTCCTGCCTCACTTTGATAATAAATAAAACTGCAATGATTTGCTAAAAGTTTTTTCTTTTAAAGCTCTCGAGTACAAAATTGTGTTAATTTAAAAATTTTCGAAAACCGTTTGCCCTACGTTCCGAAATTGTATCTTTTGTGTTATGCCTTCACGCTTAAACGCTAATTTAGCATATATGTATGTATATCTATTTATATAATTCGTAATATTAATTCCACTATGACAATCTTGTTCGCATATAAAATCCTACAAATATGAGTTCGAGATTAAAATATGTTCTGTCCGCTGTTCAGTGTTGTTTGATCCCAGATCCTTGCCCCAGCTGCTTGCTGTTTGCTGCTCTCCCTTATTCAGCTAGACGAACTCCTCCTGCTCCAACCAAGGGTGCTGCAGGCACTCCGCCGCTGATGCCCGTATAACTGGATTGTATTCGAGCATAGGCAGCAGGAAGTCGGAGAACTTCTTGGCCTCTACGGGATCCCAGTCATACTTCTCCACGAGCACATTCAGCAGACTCCAGGGCTTCAGCTTGGTAATGTTCCGTAGGCTGCCTGCGGATGGAGTAACCTCTTACGGTGTTAGTGGTCGAACTAGACTAAATACGCTCACTTACCATAGCTCGTGAAGTACTTGAGCCCGTGTTTTCCACGCAGGATCACCGACTGCGGTATCGATCCCAGCAGCTCCACAATGTGTGCCAGATGATCCTCGTCCCGGCTGTAAGACTCACCCGCATGCGGATCGAAGAGGTAATCGCCAGTAGCCAGCTCGAAGGCCAGGCACGCGGTGCTCCAGATATCCGCGGTGTAATTGTACGGCGCACCCAGCAGCACCTCGATCGAACGGTACTGGCGCGTCTGAATGTCCTCGGTGAAATGGTGGTACTTCAGAGGACACAAAGCGGGGGAGATAGAATTAGATATCAGTTGATAATTGAAAAACAGTTGGGATAGGGTTAATAGGTGTACTCACGTCATAGCAGGCATTGCCCAGATCGGCGATCTTCACCCTCACATTGCTGTTGTTGATTAGCGACTGTATCGTGTGCGTATAGGATTGGCTCTGGGTCTGGCTCTGGTTCTGCGAAGGAATGGCATTGGCATTGACATTTAATTTAGCTGTTGTTGATGTGGTTGTGGTTGTGGTTGCGGTTGCTTTGATGGAGGTCGCTTGGCCAACTGTGCTTGTGGCTGTGGCTGTTGTTATTGTTGTTGTTGTTGTTGTCGCTGTTGTCGATTTGCTATCACAACTGCCAATGTTGCTATTATGATACAGATCTGTGATAGTTGCTGTTGTTGTTGCTGTTGCTGTTGCTGCTGCAGCAGTTGCTGTTGGTACGAGATGCGTGAAGGAGTACGTGCACGTGCTGTTGTTGGTGTCGGTGTTGGTGTTGGTGTCGGTGTTGGTGGAGGTGTTGCTGGTGGTTCTGGAAGCTAAAGGTGGTGCATTGGTAGGGTCTGATGTGGCTGTGGTTCTTGGTGCTGTGGAGCTGGAAGTTGGAAGCGTGTGGATATTGGAGCTGTTGCTGTCTGTTGCCGTAGGTGTGTTGTTGCTGTTGTTCTGTTGTGCCGTGGTCGTGCACGTGCTTTGAGTATTGGAGTTAACAGTGGTGTAGGTGGAGCAGGAGTTGTTGGTATTCGAGTTGCTGACTGTGGAGGCATTAGGCAGCTGCTTTGCATACGTGATTATTTATATATTATTTGTTGGTTCACACACAAGGAAAGAAAAGAAGAAGAAAACACACGTTTTTTTTTTTTTTTTTTTTTTTTTTGTGCAATGCAAATTAATATACAGATCTTAACAACTGGAATTGCGCAATGGCATAGACCAACTGCCAAGTTCTGTCAAAAATTCAAGGGATATCTTAGGTTTGAGCTTAAGTTCAGTACTCAATGTCACATATTGAACAAAATAATGTTAGCTTTGGAAAATAATTTAATAATAAGAATTACGTATGTATGAGTTGTTATTGCGGATTCTTTTACCTGATATTGAATACTGAATAAAGCTTAGCGGTAACATCAATTTCACATCATAAAGTAATTAGGCTCAAAGCAAAGTATATATCTATGTATATCAAGGCTGCAATGCCAATAACAATATAATCAGTAGATTCGTTCAGAAATGGAACTTAGAGAGCATTTAAGAGCCCTTTAAAAGTGTAATACATCATATCCAATGAAAATTAAAGAGAAGCCACATTTTAGTTTTCTTCAAGTATAGAAAACAGCTCCTCAGAATATGAATGCAACAATATTCCATTCAATGTTTTTACTTTACTAACTGTCAATTAATGTGATATTATCTTATTTAAAATTTTCAACATCATATTTCATGCACTCTAAGGAAAATTCTTCTCAAATAATAATTGCCATTCAGTTCAGCTATTCTATTGACTAGTTTGGTTATTTGCCTGGCTTTGCAGAATTGATATACTATAAATATGTGGGCAGACATTTTATAATATTGCTCTAAGTGGTTAAAGGGTTACATAATAACATCGAAAGCTTAAGCCAGCTGCAAGTATCGGGTGAAATAACATGTGTATAGATTTAAGCATTTCAAATGTAGTATATAATATAATGAGGCACATATATGTATACATTATTGGATTTGCAATTGGCATAGTCATGAGTGTCTACAGTGGCGTGTAACGGGAAATATGAAACTGAAGCAACTGAAGATAGGGAAACGTTTATAAGCAGAAATCAAAAGGAGCAGCCATATTTGGGTTCAAGCAACGACATTCGGTTGATGGCTACATTGAACATCGGAAATGATAACGTCGTAGAATTTCAAACTCTAGTGAAGTCAATGAAAATCGTTGATGCTGGATTAGTAACGCACTTCGAACTAGGCAGAGGTCTTTCGTAATGGGTCTAACCCAGCCCAGGTTCGAGCAGACAGAGAAGCATCAAACACAATTACTCAGTAAACGAACGAACGAGCGAGCGAGTGAGCGAGTCAACTTCCGGGAAACTTGGGAGGAACTATTTATGCACTTTACCTTATCTGAGTGAACGGTAACGATATTTTTGGTAAGACTAACGTCTTGGTCGGTAGGCGTGTCGCTGGCAATGGTGCTATTGTCACCGAGGGTATCGGTGTCTGTGTCCTCATCGTGGTCAATAGAAGACTAACGAAATGAAAAATGTTCGAAAGGAAATCAATATGGCGAGGAAATCAAGTCAAGTAAAATCGAATCAAATCAAATCGAATAACAATAAATTGCCGTGGGTGTTTCACATTAACGCATACATACATACGTTTACGTACATACATACATACATACAGTGATACAGTGGTAAACATAATTAGATATTTTGTTCATTTTCATGATGGTTTGGCTTGAGTGCAAAATGTCTTCGACGCTGATGAGCTGGAAACAGTGCTTGGGTCGGCCGAAGGGCCGAAGGGCCTGCGGGGCCGTGGGTTACACTCACCTTGGCAGTGATTTTCTTCTCAGCACGATAACGATTGCTTAAATTCGTAGTGCCTCCGATTGTGGGGCTATCGACGCCGCACACGCTGACCAGGCCACCGCCGTTGCACTCGCTGTCGCCCAGGAGGCTTGAGTACTTGGATGCCAGCGAGGATGTGGTGTTGGAGTTGAGCGTCGACGAGGTGGTGGTGTCGTCCTTGTCCAGCGAGGACATGACCACGGCGGCCAGCGGCGTCGATGAAGTCGAGTTGTTCGCCGTGCTGTTGCTCGTGGTCGTGGAGCCATTAGGCTCGATCAGCGGCCACTTGGCCCTCGTCTTCGTCTGCTTCTCGATTGAGCTGACTGCAAGGGAAACAAGGGGAAGACTGATTGGACTCTAGGCTCTTTGGGCACTGGACCTGGCAAAGCTTACTATAAGAATCTGGAAAGTCGACGCCTTTCACGCGGAGGCTGTTGATCTCGTCATCGATCTGCTGATTCATGGCCGCCGCATTGTCAATCACAAGTAAAATGTTCTCGGGCTTAATGTCTGTGTGAATAATGCTGCACTTGCTGTGCAAGTAGTCCAGTCCCTCCAGCACCTGCTTGATGATGTTGCGCACCTGTGCGATGGCCAGTCCCTGGTAGTTGTTTTTCACGATCAGCTTGTACAAGCTGCAGCCCAGCGCCTCGAACACCAGGCAGGTGTGCACGCCGTTCACGCCACGCACCGTGAAGTGATTCAGGAGACGGACGATCCTCTCTCTCTTCACATCGAGCGGGTCTGCATCGCGGATGGCCTCCAGCAGTCTGATCTCGTCCGCTGCAGTCTCTATGTAATGGGGAGCACTCTTGACCACCTTAAGAGCCACATACTTCTCGTCTCTGTCCGCAATGGAAGATACATAATACCACAACGTGTCGACTGTCAAAAATTCGCCTTTACTCACTTTAGATCTCTGCATAGCCACACCGTGGAGAAGTGACCCCAGCCCAGCTTGCGCACAACCCGAAACCGATTGTCGAATATGTCGCCAATGACGACCGGATGGTAACCACCACGGCAGTACTGCGAGGCATCCTCCTGCTCCTCGTCGGAGCCGTAGAGACTGCTATCCGGCGAGTCTGGGTAAATTTCATCAGTAGTGCTCAGCGTGCCGCGAGGCTCCGATCTGAAAGTGGAGCAGAGTATGGGGGAGATCAATAATCAATAGGCCCATTGTGTTAGGATTATTTGAATGTGACTAAGCAACTATGAGAATAAATGGTCTAGGATTGTTGGTATGTGATTAAGCAAGTATAAAAATATATTATGTACATAGAAAATAGTACATCTATTTTTAGTTCTCGAGTGAGTTTAGTCTATAACAGTTCCCAAGCCAGGTGGCTCATTACACTTGAGTGCTTGGCTTGAAAGAGATGAGATTTCCTATCAGATAAGGGAAACGGTTAAGTATGAGCACACGCACATGAAGGCAACCAAATCTTCATCCTCCGGCTCCACTCTCGTGGATGGAGCGGCCATCGACTGCTCATCCGCAGTGCTAGTAGGTAGCTGAAGCGTCAAGGGCGTCTCCCTGAGCACCAGGACATTCTCTAGTATTTGATCCCTCGGGGACAGCGGCTCGAAATAGAGGCCTGAGTTCCTATTGCTCTTCGGTCGCTGCGATTGGTGGCGTAGTGCAATAAGTATTGGTCCGGCGGAGACGCATTTGCGCTTCTTGGTAAAGCGCTTGCGTCGCTTCTTCTCCTCCACTTCCAGCATCGCCTCAGTGGCTGCTTCCTGTGCGGCTCGCTTCTCCTGCTCGGAGACAAAGTTGAAGTCGCAGCTCAGCTCCTTGGCGATTAGGGGCGTGGTAGCAGGCGGTGCGGAGGCCAAGCTCTCGGTGCTGCTCGGCCGCAGCAGGTGCATGAGATAGAGGAAGAGAAGCAGCAGGCACACCTTCAATCCATAAACGAATATTTCGTCCTGCGCAAGAGTTCCGATAATTTGGCCGAGATATTGGCGCAACGTGCTGGCAAGGACCGACAGCAGATAGGAATACTCCGCGTAGTGCTGCTTGATCAGGGCACCACTGAGTTGCCAGTCCAGCAACGCCCAGCCACTCGTCGTCGTGACATTGGCCTCCCTCGGGCAAACGGGCCCCGGCCCTGGGGCGTACATCCACCAGTTATCCATTACGCGTTCGGTTTCGAGTTTGTTTGACTTTTCGATTTTTGCGCCCCTGCCTACATTGCTCTTGCCCACCCAACAGAGGCGCAATTATAGGGGGCGTTCCCCAAGGGATGCAGTGGAGGCTAGCGACCTTGACTTTCCTATGCGTTGGCGGCCAGCTTCGGTGCTAGCATTGTTTTTGTACGCTCGCGAACCGTTCACACTCTTCTTCGCTTTCAAAGACAGCTTACATAACGCGCGCGCTGAGGATGCGAGCGAAGGTAAATAAATAAATCGCACAACGCAGAAAATTTCAAAATATGAAAAGCATGTGTATCTTTTTGACTCGACAACCGCACGGCTCGCTACCATCTGCGAGAATGCTGAACCGTCGCTCTTTTCCTTTTCGTACGTTCCCCAAGCGAAATGAGCGAGCCAAAGTCAAAGAATCCAATAGAAATTTGCTGTCGCTTTTATCACGGCAAAATACAAAATACGTCGGCCATTCGTGTGCATGTGTGGAAACTGTGCAGCTAAAGAGACCCACAGCAACAACACACATATATGTATATTTAATTATATACATTCTACAATGTTCCTCATCAACTCGTCGGCTTGGCCAAGGCAGCGGCAAGTGCCTGTCATGGAATGCGAATAGCTCAAGCAGCGAGCAGCGAGCAGCGAGAATCGAGAATCGAGCAGCTTCATCATTATTATGGTCATCATTATTGCCACTGTGAAGAGCGATTTGTTAGGCACTGTGCCAAATTAGAGCAATCGCTCGCCGATGTTTGCTTTTCAGTTATACATGTAAATGATTTTTGACTGGAATTTCCAACTCTGTCGGAGCCACAGCACATGCACTTCACGCACACAAGTGACTAAGCTCGTCTGGGAGTATTGATTTATCCCCCATTTCAGTCGTACTTGCTCAGGCGGCCCCTCTCTACGCCCCGGCCAGCGCCTGGAGGTCCCACTGCCAAAACACTTGTTCCTCGCATGACTCACCCTAATGCACAAAGAGAAGCACGCACCTTAGATCTTTTGCTTTACTTCGCTTTGCTTTGCTTTGCTTTTCTTTGTTGCCGTTCGTCGTTCGCTCACCAAACTAAACTACAAATTCTCCGTGGCGGCTGATTCTTCAGTATATTATTATTTATAGAAGCGACGCAAACACATATATATAGACTCTTATTCGCTTGTGTGTGTGTGTGTGTGTGTGTGTGTGTGTGTGTGTGTGTGTGTGTGGAAACAATAAAGCGCTATGTGCATTTCCACATGCATGTGTGAGCTCATGGAGACGTCATCGTTTTTTCAAGTGCAGCATACAGACATACATACATACATAGGTATGTATGTGCATGTGTGTGTGAGTGGGTGTGTGTGCGAGAGGCGAAAGCAAATTGAAAACGTAAACAAGCCAAAACAGCATTTGGATTGGTCAGTACGTGAGCTTATCTAAGAATACGTCAGTGCGTAGGCGTAAAAAAAAGTTCTCTGGGAAGCAAGAGCACCGCAAATAGTGATCCAATCGATTTGATATCGTCAGACTGCACATTGGTCAAAAAGCTAAAAATTCCGTAAATGGTGATTACAATATCACTATGAGTTTGTCATTCGATTTTATGACGGAACTTCTAGAAATTTTGGATTTTCTTTTTCTTCCAAATTTCTTCTTATTATATACACATATGTATCATCTACCCTATTAAATCTTTGGCAAAACGGAATCATCAAGATTAATTACAATATACATATGTATACCTTATATCGATAGATATTCATATACATATATACATATATATAACTGCTATTGCAGTCTTATCTATTTTTAGAATAACGAAAACCAAACTTTTAAGATTAATGATTGACTTTTCATTTGCTATGAAGACAACATCTAAATCTAAGCTCATAGGAGTGACTCCAAGCAATCCGGGTACGCTCCAGGAATATCGGAATCTAATTGCAAGCCCCGTTGCATTCACCGTTCATTTGCTTAACGGTGCTCATTGTTTATAGCATTGTCGGCCCCACTGTTCACGCAGGGTGGGAACTGAGGCATGTGGCCGACCTGCCAACACAAAAATTGAGAGGTGCTCGTTGTCGCGATGGATTTAATTGTGCCCCACGCTAGGCGGTGTAAAATGGGTGCGATAGAAGAGCATACAGCTAAGTAGAGGCGAGCGATGACTACTCACAGGCTGACGAAAGGTCCTCGGAGGGCCGGCATGTCACGCCGCCGGTTGAGGGGCGGTGAGAGTGATAGAGAGAGGAAGTCCTGCTGGGCCTTGTCCTCGTCAACGATGCTCGTTGGGGTGCTGTAGATGCGCGTTGTTGGCAGATAGCCAATCTGCTGAAGAAAGTCGTCCCGATAGGAGAGCTTCGTGGTCGACTGCGAGGACGTCAGCGTGCCCAGCGACAGCGGCTGATGCGCGGCTCCCGTGCCATGGTGGTGCAAGTGCAAATGATGGGCGGACGTCACGGGCGCAGCCATATTCACATGGTGATGCGCCGTCGGATGGAACTGTGGGTAGGGTATGGGCACGGGCGTGGGCGCAGCTGTTGGTGCATTGGCGCCGCCAAAGCCCAGGCCGTGGGCGTGGGACAAGAAGGGCGGAGCGATGATTTTGTCATCGAAGCTGCGCCTGAAACTAAAGCCCTTCAGCGAGTTGCTGTAGTTGCGATGCGAGAGCGGCGAGCTGCCCAAGTCAATGCTGGCAGCTGGACCCAACAGCTTCATGGTGCTCAGATAGTTCGCGGAGCCGCTGCCCGCCGGGCTCAGCGTTTGCGTCTGGGTCTGCGCCTTGCCGCTTGCCGTTGCCGTGCCGCTGCCCAGCATGCTGAGGGCCGGCGAGGTGCGCAGCTGAGGACTGCCGCCGGCCGTGTTTCCGCCGGCCGCCGTGGTGCTGCAGACGGAATTGCCTGCCGAGAGGGGCGGCGAAATGGCACTTAGTGTCGAGATGCCGCTATCACTGCTGCATATGCCAGCCGGCAGGGTGTGGGTGAGGTTGTGGGCGTGGCCCAGCGACGTATGGGTGGGCGAAATGAGGTGATGCTGATGTTGGTGCTGGTGCTGGCTCTGGTTGTGGTTCTGGTTCTGATGCTTGTAGCTGCCGCCTGTGCTGGCACCGCTTCCTCCGCCGTTGATGCCACCGCCGCTCACGAGGCCGGCCATACCGCTACTAGGCAGAACGGGAGCCAGCTTGGCAAGGTGCCCGCAGCTAGGCAATGCGCCTGCAATATGAACGAAGCTCCCGAAGAGAGAGAGAGAGAGAGAGAGAGAGACAGAGAGCGATGGAGTCCTCTTTCCGGTCTTCGTCGTCGCCCACTCCTTTTTCTGTGGTTGCACTTCTTGATTTGCTGTTGCTGCTTTTTCTAGAAAGTCGTCGCCTTGGTTAGCAGCTACATGGCGCCGATATCCTAGCCGTCGTCCACATCCTGATTGTCCTTTGTTGCTCGATGCCGATTTCCCTGTCCCTATTCCAGCTCTTGTTCTTGTTGTTGTTGCTGTTGCCGGGGCACTTATGCTCCCAATGCAGCCAGAGAGTTTCCAACCTCATTTGCACTCGCAGTCAAAGCCATCGCCTCCCCGATTACTTTGCTTTGTGTAGCATACTTCTGTGCGTAGGAAAATCAATGAGGGCCTTCCCAGTCTAAAGTGTTTTAATGCATTTTAATACCCGTTTTTCGATTTTCGTTTTTCGCCACTCGCTTTGCTTTATAACCCAAATTGCGCATGAAAAATTAACACATACACGAACGTAAACTACACACATACATGCACACGCGCACACACACACATTCACAAACGCGGTTAATTTTTCCTCCACTTCAGTATTGAATTTGGTTTACGTTTTATTATTCTTTCGTTTTACCGTTCAATCCGATTCGCGTGCAAATTAATTTAAATTTTGCTCCCTAATCACGGTTTCATATAACATTTTTAGGTGCCCAATTTTGGCCCAGCAGCAGGGAGAAATAATATGTATTTCTGGATTACACTTTCGACTGTCCAGTTGCAACTTCGCAGTGCGCGGCACACGAACTCTTCGACCGTCTATCGGATTCTGGCCTGTACAAACTCTGCAGCGAAGTTGCGCCGAGCCGTCTCTGCTTACTGCCCAGCCTCAGGCCGCTCTCTTTCTCTCTCACTCGCCGTTACTGGCACAGCGCATGTGCCGGCTTTACCGTTACTGCAAAAGCATTTGGACAAAGCACCAAAACAAAACAAACCAGAAGAGCGAGAGCAGCTTAGCGGAGTAAAAAGCTCTCTCTCCACAGAGTCAGCTGTCAAAAGCTCAGCGACAGCACCAACAACAGCATGGACGATGCCGTATTTATTTACTAACGCACAGCAATATCACAAAGCCATAAAAGTGGCGTTTAAATTCATTCAAGCTTTCGCCTGGCTTTTTTGGCATGGTATTCCAGGTGGTCGCACACTACGATCCCCGATTCTATTCTCAGCATATATCCTTTGAATAATAAGAACACCGATCTTTTTAGTTTATATAGTTATTTTATTCATTTCGGTTTCATTTTGTATCAGGCAAATTTCAATTTGTAAACAATCGATAATTGTAATTTAAATTTTTGGAAATGTTTTTTGTTTTGTTTACTCGCAAATACACACACAAAACTTTTAAATGGGACTATCATAAATTTAATTGCATATAATATATATAGATATATTTATATATATACTTTTATTGAATTGTATGTGTGTATACATGTGCTAATAGTTTTTAATTGATACAGATGATATACATTTAGGATATTATAAAACTTGTTGACTAATTGCAAAACATATATTGTTGAAATATTGAAAAGAAAAAAACAAACAAAAACTAAAAAATTTTAAATAATTTAAATACATAAATAATACAATTTGTAGATACATTTAACTTCCAATATTTTGTGGGCGTACATTTATTGTAAGTAATGTGGATACGAATACGATAAGAATTTTGAAGGATGCTTTGGAATTATATAATTATGTTCATTTAAATTAGTTAGCGATTTTATTTTGCTCTGAAGTTGAAGTTTAAACGTTATTTTTTAATTGAGTGCAATGCTAGACTGTTTAACTTGACTTATTTATATACATTTGCAGCTGATCGAACGGGTCAATGGCTCTGCTTGGACACGACCTTCATATAAACGTATACCCAAGCTCAATTGACCCCCCATTCAGCTCGAGCATAGAACATTTTATTGGATTCTTTACAAATATTCATATATTTTAACAATTTGGTGTAAACTAATTTTTAAAATTGGAGACCAAGTGGCAACAACAAATAGTATTCTTAGCTAACAGGCGAATTTCTATAGGGCACTCACACACACAAATGCAAAGTAAATCTAATATATGGTATATGTGAAGGACACATATATAGACATAAAAGCAAAGCGAACTCTTTAGACTCAATCCGATGATAAATAGATCAAAAGTTCACAAATTTGGGTACACACATATATATAAGCATAGATGTTAAGTAGTTGAACTTCTTCCTCAATATTACTAAAGTTCAATTAAAGTACTACATATATATTTATATATATAATGCATAATTGAATATGCAGCTCAATTCACTTTATGAATGTATAGTTCCGAGTAATTGCAACAAGAACAAAATTTGAAATAATTCCTATCGGATTGATTAAAATGTGCACTTTACAATTCATATTATAAATTAGAATTAACTTCTAAAGCTTATGATAAATATATAAGTATTTATGTAAAT